TAATTCCCACGCTGTGGTGGGGACTGGGTGGGGGGAACCGAGTCATGGCCTTGAATTGCAGCTCCCATAATTCCCACACTGTGGTGGAGACTAGGTGGGGAAACTGAGTCCTGGGGGTGGGGTTTCTCCCATGCTGTTCTCCTGATAGTGTCTCACGAGATCTGATGGTTTTATAAAGGGAGTTCCCTTGCACATGCTCTCTTGCCTGCCGCCATGTAAGACATGACTTTGCTCCTTGTTCACCTTCCCCCATGATTGTGAGGCTTTCCCAGCCATGTGGAACTGTCAATCATCCTTTCTAAATTGCCCAGTCCTGGGTATGTCTTTATTAGCAGCATGAGAACAGACTAATACACGGAAACATTTTCATGGAACTTCAGAAGGTGTGGCCACCACACAGGCAGATGGGCTCTTTCGGACAAAAAGATTCACAAAGTATAAAGAACTCCCAAGAGGCAGCTCAGTAATGACATCGACAGCAAGAGCTGAAGCTCACCGCACAGGTGCCCCTCCATACACGGCACTGCCCAGGCACATCCCATCTCACTTATGTCAGCTAAGCATACCCCAGCCAAACCACTCTTAAAACAACACATCAACATCCACGCCTCACAGCGAGGTCTTCAGTCTCAGCAGAGAATGGACTGTAAGCATTTCTTGCCGCCGACTCACCGCCTCTGTTATTCCAGACGCCCCCGCCTCGCTCACAGCAGACACCACGACTTCCGAGGCTGGGAGCCGCTTGGTCACGGAAATGTGGTGGGTGACGTTCCTCAGGATCTGCAGCTCCAGGTCTCGCAGCATTGTGTGCAAGTCGCCTCTGCTCACACACTGCGACGAGAACCTCTGTAGCAGCTGTTCCAGAGAGCCGCCTTGCTGATCTTCGGAAAACAGGAGTTTCACCGTTTCTCTGACTTGCACATCCACCTAGTAAAACAGTAGAGAGACACAAATTTACTATTTTAACTAAATCATTTCCATTCTTTTGGTCCATTATCTTAGATATCTCAGAAGTATTATATATCCTCTCGAAATCTAGAATGTCATTGTGACAGTGTTTTCCTTCGTATTAAATTTAAGAACCCCTCCAATAATGCAGGAACACGTTAAAAAGAACAGAAATAGGCGAGTTCATGGGATGAGGACGACCTGCATCCTAGGAGCTGCAAGATGTGATGGGGCATGTCCACACCATCTGGAGGTGCGTGTCCATCCAGCAAGCACCCGCCGGGCACCCTGCAGCTAGGCACACAGGTGCACTGGAGAGGCCCTGCCATCAACAAACTTGGTCTGGTAAGAAAATAGTCATATAAACGAACCTAAATTATAGCTTCATGTATGCTAAATACGCCCCGTGTTATTTCTACGCACACAAACACATATGTAAATACCTTTTTCTTCTTGCTTTATAACAATAGACCGTGAAGGACATGGCAAAGCCTATGGCACGGCCGTTCATCACAGCCACCCTCCCACGCTCCACGTGTGGACACACCTTTCTCTAGCCCACACCCGCTAACAGTGGCACGTGGCTGCTTTCTACCCTCACTTCTCCCCACACTAACTTCGCAGCACTAACCCTCCTGCCTGTGTGGCCTCTGTACTGGTGCCTTTATTTCTGTAGGATGACTCCCAAGGGCATGGTTGTGCGTTTCAAAGAGTGCAGGTATTTGTCACTGGTGAATATCCTAAGATTTTCCCCCCGAGGCCGTGGTTGGTGACAGTCCTCCTGGCCAGGGGAAAGCCCGCAGCCTTGGCCAGTGCTGACAGCAGCCGGCGTCCTCGTGGGCCTGTAGACTACAGATGAGAGCCTGCTGTAGTCTGCAAGTCCCATCAGCAGGACTCAGCTCCCTGATGGCACATTGGCTTTTTTTTTTTTTTTTTTTTTTTTTTGAGACAGAGTCTCACTCTCTCCCAGGCTGGAGTGCAATGGCGTGATCTCGGCTCACTGCAACCTCCGCCTCCCAGGTTCAAGCGATTCTCCTGCCTCGGCCTCCCGAGTAGCTGGGATTACAGACCCGCGCCACTACACCCGGCTAATTTTGTATTTTTAGTAGAGGGTTTCACCAAGTTGGCCAGGCTGGTCTCCAACTCCTGACCTCAGGTGATCCGCCCGCCTAGGCCTCCCAGAGTGCTGGAATTACAGGTGTGAGCCACCGCGCCCAGCCTATCGCACGCTTTCTCTGTCGCCACTGCTTCTCTTCTTACCAATTCTAGGGGCTCTCTGCCCATCAGAGATAATTTTACCACACATATTGCAAATACCTTTACCAATCTACTGTCTGACTTTGACGACTTTTGCCAAATGATTGTGTTTTCATTCTTAAGCAGCTCTAAATGTCTAGATTTTCTCCTCTGCCTAAGGATGATGGACTTGAAGCAATGTCTATGATACGTTTTAACATGAAACAGAGCAAGCAGCAGGTTCAAGGTGGGTCTATTTAATGAAAGGTACACAACAACCACCCAGCTACAAGTCAGCGCTGGCCCTGGGCTGCACGCACACCAAGGAGACTGGAAAGACGCACGGTGGGTGCTGACAGGCAGTGGTGGGGGAACGGGAAAATCTACAGAGCGCTGAATTAGTTATTTTGAAATATTTAAAAAGTTCACATATAGTCAAAAAAGTTTTTAAAGGAAGTTGAAATTAAACAACTTAGGCCAGGCGTGGTGGGTGGCTAAGGCCTGTAATCCCAGCACTTTGGGAGGCCGAAGCAAATAGATCACTTGGAGTCAGGAATCTTGAGACCAGCCTGACCATTGTGGTGAAACCCCGTCTCTACTGAAAACACAAAAATTAGCTGGGCATAGTGGCACGTGCCACTAGTCCCAGCTACTCGGGAGGCTAAGGTGGGAGAAGAGTTTGAACCCAAGAGGTGGAGGTGGTCTGCAGTGAGCCGAGATCGTGCCACTGCAGTCTAGCCTGCACGCCACAGCAAGACTCGGTCTCAAAAAAAAAAAAAAAAAAAATTAAACAACTAATAAACCTAAGTCATCAGGTTTTCTTTTACTCTATTATAAAACAAAAAGTAAACACGCAAGTAGCTCACTCTTTCTTGTAGAGCATCCACTGTCTCACAGCCAGTCTTCATGTGTCGCCAGCTGGACAGCTCTGACTTTAGCTGATCCAGCTCCAGTTGGAGGTGCTCGACCGTGGGCAGGAGCTGCTCACCAACCGCACTGGAATCCAACAGTGAGAATGGGTCACACACAAGCCTCCCAGCCTACACACTTCCCGCACTACACACAGGCTGAGGGGACCCGATCCCACTCCTGGGTGTCCTAACTGTACAGATGTCAACCTGTGCCACACTAACATGGAAACTGAATGCGAGTTTCCAATAAAAATCCCAGAGAGGTCTTCTTCTGCATCAATTTATGTCTGTAACCTACAAATATCCACACTGCACAAGGAGGCTACCTACAAAAATGCTGCTAGCGGTGTTTCTCAGTGGCGAGTGAGAGCTCTCTCTGAAAACGATTTAAGCATCTAAAAACTTTATTTCTGGACTGGACACGGTTGCTCATGCCTATAAGCCCAGCACTTTGGGAGGCCGAAGCAGACGGATCACTTGAGGCCTTTATAGGTACACATACTTAATGAGACACTAACAATTCATATCTCAAAAAGCTCATTCCTGGATCAACACTTTAGGACTGACATATTACCGTATTAAAGCAACTTTTTATTAAAATAAAAGCTCTGGAAGAAGAGAAAACTGCTTCAGCTCTCACACCTGTCCTCACAGAGGAGGAACATGGGGCACAGGGGAGGACGGACCCTCCTGAGTGCAGACGCGGGGACCTTGGGAAACCACAACCAAGCCAAGGCTGCCCAATCTAGAAGTGGGGAGGGCTGTGGGGGTATGAGCTGTGTGTATAAAACTAAGGAAGACAGACAAAGCTGCCGTGTTGGGAACACCTGTGAGAGGGAGGCACTCCACTTAAGCAGGCTTCAGGCAAATCAGTAGTTGTGTGGAAGAAAGCCGCCTGGAGTCCTCGAGGAGCAAAACGCCAGCATCCCCAGGAAGCGCAGAGGGACCCGGATGTGCCATGAATTCCAAGGGCAGCAGGGCCAACAGCCACGCAGAGAGGCCCACCGTGACATGCCCAGCACAAATCGGGTGGTTCTGGAAGCAGGTGTCCTGCCCACCAGGGGCTGCCCTCCAGGAACAGCAGCAGGGATGAGGCTGAGCTGTAACCCCACCCACCTAGATGCCAACGGTGCCAGTGCAGGCCCGGCGCAGAGCCCACCATGACACCCACTATGGCATGGGCCGCAAGATGGGCCTCGACCTACTCCCTGAGGGTGGCTCTGCAAGCACACTGGAGACGAAGTTACAGCAGAGGCAAGGGCAGCACCTTTGACACGGAGGTCCATGCCACACGGAAGGGGATGTGGCAAGTCCCTCAGGCCCCGTTTGTCCTCACGCAGCCCAGCAGGAGTGTCTGTCAGCACAAACCTCAGGGCCTTCAGGTGACCCACGGTGGAGGCCGGCCCCGTGTCCCCTCGTTCATCACTCTGCTGCCGCTCCACATAACACACACACACACACACACACACACACACACGAGACAAAAGTGAGTGTTTTCCAAATCCTCCTACCTGACTGTTTTTTGCTTGGTCTGTTCTAATTCCTTCTGGATGGCCTAAAAAATACAAGAAATAATCTACTGAAATACTTTAAGTTATATATTAACTTTTCATAAATCCATATACTTAAAACTCCATTGATTTCTCTGAAACACCCCCTTTAATTCAAAGTCCAGATCCGCCTGTGTGTGGCAGGTAGGAAGTGTTCATTGTACATTTGAAAGTAACCTTCATCAAGTGTGTGCAGAAAGGAGCACAAATCACACGGGGACGGCCTGGCGGGCTCAGAACATGCAGCTCCCGTAACCAGCACCCAGGCTGGGAGTCAGCTCCCTGTCACACCTCCAGAGTGTGTTCTAAACGTGAAGGACAGGGACACGGAAGAGGCACACATGAAGCTGAGCCATGCTGGCCTGTGCCATCCGCGCGACCTGACAGCAGCACCATGCTGAGCGCCGGCGTCAGCCCCAAGTCTCACTCCACGGAGGTCTCCACAGCCTGGCCCAGGGCAGGCGGACATAGGAGGAGGCACCCTGCAGACCCTCACGAGCGGACACAGGAGGCGGCGCCCCGCAGACCTTCACGAGTGGACACAGGAGGCGGCGCCCCGCAGACCCTCGCAGGCGGGTACATTCTCCCCTCTGCCTGCTCCTCTCAGCCCTCCTCTCCCTCCCAGGTAAACCCGCCTGATCTCACAGGTTCCATAATCCATGAGCAGGTCCCAAGATTCCCAAAAGGGTGTGCTAAAGACAACCCTTAGGCTCACCACGTTTCTCAATGTAGTTCAATACACACATGCACATGTGACACGCCAGGCTCTGTGTCAAGCACCAGAGACACAAAGAGCCGGAACCTGAGCCCCACCCTAACTCCCAAGGGCTGAGGGCAGCACAGAGGCCCGGCCCCTCCCCTGGCATTCTCAGCAACTAATGGTCCCAGCCTTCCCACCCAAAGCTAGTGCTGTCTGTCAAAAGGTTCAGGTCCTTTATCTCCCCTCTAAAGACACTGCAAGAGGGTGTGTGGCAGCGAGGAAGCACCCTGGAGCCGGAAAAAGCTGGATGGGAACCCAGAGGCCGCCTGGAATTGGCAGAGCCACCTCCTGGCGTGTGCAGCCCTACTCTGTGCCGAGACACAGGGATGAGTGAGTTACACGCCCGATTAAATGTTAAGAGTCCCAGAGCCGCTGCCACACCAGACAGAGAACAAGTGTTTCTTTCCACTTTACACAAAACAACAGCAAATAGCCTAAAAAGAGGAACATTAAATGACCCAGGGGCTTTAAAATATGAGCCATAGTTGATTTTCTTTTTATTTTAAAAAAGTATAAGGTGAAAAATAAATACCTCAGATTTTTCTCTCAGTTTTCCCAGAATATCTTCCAAGTGTGAGATGCGCACTTCATGTTCTTGGTGAAAAGCCATAAAGTCAGTCTTAGGAAAGAAAAGGGGTGAACAAATGATGGAGAAAGCTAAGCAACAAAAATCTGGCAAGTTAGGCCAAGGCGTTTCTACACGGAATGTCGACAATCAGAGAATCTGCGGTTGCAATGTGTCACAGACCCTAAAGGAATAATCCGCTTAATAACAACATCCTCATCTTCATCCCTAACTCCAGAGATCTTTATTTATATATTTATTTATTTTACGGCTGCACTCCAGCCTGAACCACGGGTCCCCTCTGTGGTTCATTGCAACCTCCACCTCCTGGGCTCAGATGACCCTCCCGCCTCGGCCTACTGAGTAGCTGGGACCACAGGCCTGAGCCCAGTGCACTGACACAGCAAACCCCGTGAGGGCCTGATGCCCACCTCGGGCCACGGTGGGCCGTGCTGCAGCTGTGCTGTCCAGCAGGGCAGCACCAGTCACTCGTGGCTACTGGGCACCTGAAATGGGGCCATGCAAGTGAGAACCTGCCATTTAAAGTTCGATGTGGTGTTGACTGACAAAAATGTAACAACCATATGCTAGTAGTGGCGTCCTCCACTAGGCAGTGCAGATGCAAACATGAGCTAGAGGCTCCGGGAAGCAGGTACCAGGCTCTGCCCGCTGCCAGGTGGCTGAGCGTTTAACACTGCGTGCACCGCTTCTGAGGGAAGCCCTGCTCTGCGTTCCAATCACTGCCATGATCACACCCAGACAGGCACGTGCTGGAAGACAGCTTAAGAATGGGCTCAATCTGTACTAAAATGAGCTTAGGCCACATACAATTTAGTTTTCACTAAACTGTTCTGAAAAACTGTCGACTATTTTCTTTACAAGAGAGGGCATCCTCTGAAGCAGAGGTTCCTGGGCCCCCCCACGCAATCCCTGCGGTGGGCGGGGGCATCTTGGGCTGCCTCCGAGGCGAAGTGCGTCTGGGGCCCACGTGAGACAGTATGTGTCCATCTCAGTGGTTGTCCTGTCTACAGGGACGCTCAGTGGCCGTCCCGTCTACAGGGACAGAGCGCCATGACCTGTCACCAGGAGGGCAATCTGGAGAATAGGACAGGAAAGGCCACGGTTCTCCACGACCGCCAGACTTCCCGCTTGGGGTTATCACACATCTCCTGCCCACCACTTCCACGCGTGCTATGGAAGCCACACCTCCTGGTCATCAGCAGACGATGGGAAACCCACTCCTTCCCCGGCACACTGCTCTCAACAACTAAGAACAGAAAGTGCAACCCCTTGTCACAACGACACCTCTCCCATCCCCTCTGTCGCCCAAAGAGAGAGAACACGGCACCCAGAAGCGCGCTGGTGTCACCGTGGAGCCCAGTAGCCCGGCAGCACTCACCTCCTTCAGGGGCTGTCCCACAGCATCTCTGACCGATGTTGATGGCCCGGCAGCGCCATTGTCCATCTGGTCCACCCGAGCCTGCAGCTTCTGAAGCAAAGTGGTCAGCTCTCGGAGATTCTCGCCATGGTGGTGGCACTGTCCAGAAAGGGAGGTCACCTGCTGCTCCATGCCACTCATCCAATGCCATGGAAAAGCCTCGTTGTCACCCTGAAATGGTAAGAGAGGAATGAAACCAGGTAATCAAGTCACCATGAGCAGAGTCAGTCAAAACCTCCAAACAGTATCCTACAGCAAGACGCCAGCTCTGGGGTGCACAGCACACAAATGGAGGAATCCACAGAAACCTGGAGTATCAGGTTTGATCCTTATGTGCCTGACTATGGGTGGTTCTCATTTGCTTCTCTATACTTTCCGTACTTTGCACAGTAATGAATACTATAATGTTTTTTACATTAAAACTAACTGAATCATGAGAGTACTTTAAATGTGCATTTGAACTCTTAGAACACTTAAGGAGCTCCAAAGACTTGCTTATCTGACATTTAAAAATATTTCCTACAACAGGGCACCTGACTGCAGTGCCTGGCTTACAGCAGTGTGGATGCGTCCCTGAAGACCTCACATGTGCGGTGCCAACTGACAGGCCCTTCTACCCTCTTACCTGTAGAGGCTGGTTCAGGCGAGAAGTCGCGGGTTTAAATACATCCTGGGGGTCATCCACCCGCTGTGTTCTATGCGTGTTTGCCCAGTTCAACACAGGCAGGAACGAAAAGAAATCGCCCTGGCCCCGTAAGGAGAGACCTGCTAAAAGAGAGTAACCACCACACGCACACAGGTACACCACGTTTCTCAAAACATGGACTTACACGCTCATTTTTTTCCACTAAGTTACATGTATGTGTATTGCTTAGCCCCTGGATTGACTTACCGAGTAAAAGGAGGAGTGGGACGAGCAAGACTAAAAGCTTGCAGATGTTTCGAAGGCACCTGGGGGTAAAAATGAAAACCTTTGATTTGGAAAAAATGAAAGTCAGCATTCACCAATCTGCTTTCCCCCTCTAGATAATTTTGTGCAAAATCCACCCCCCAGTGTTAGAAAAGCAGTTACGGTTTTATCTACAAGGCTTGTGACGCCTACAGGAGAACCTTAGTGTACAACGGCGTCCTCGAGACCTATGGTACCAACTTTCTGGTGCTGTGGGGACGGCCTGAGCTGCCCTGAGTCTCTGCCCCTTCAGGTCACCAGTCTCCCGAGGTGACTGGCGCCACTGGGCACTGCAGCAGGGGAGGAGCCTGGACCTGGGTCCCCACCCTGCCCAGGCCCTTCCAGCTGCCTCACCTCTGCACACTTGTTTTCCTTAATGATATCTGCCTTTCTTATCTCACAGGTTGGTTTGAAAAATAAGAATATAAAGGCACTTTTGTAAAATATACAAACACTATGTGAACACAAGCGAAATCCTTATAAAATAACAAATCAAATGAGAGCCTGCGAATGGCACAAAATTGGTTCTTTAAAGCACCAAGCTGACATGATATCCATTTCCTTACCTGGTAAGAAGAAACACATTCAGCCAAGAAATCAAAGTAACAAACTGGTACCATCCAATCCCCAGCCACCAGAACACTCCGGAGGCTGCCTTCCCTACAAGAGAAAACACCAAACGTTCTAAGGAAATGTTCTCAGGAAAACCAAGCTCCTAAAGGGACTGTTTCTGTGAAGGCCAAGCAAGAAGCACATGAAGATGAAGCTGGAGGTGAAGAAGTTCCATGATGCTAGTTGCCACGCGAGGCAGTAACGTGCCACGCTGATGAATACACAGGACAGCATGCAGGAGAGGCGAGGCAGTAACGTGATGAACACGCAGGACAGGATGCAGGAGAGGCGAGGCAGTAACGTATCACGCTGATGAACACGCAGGACAGGATGCAGGAGAGCAAGCCCCAGATCCATGCATTCTGTGCCCTGCACAGGGCACTCAAGCAGCCGGACTCACCCCAGACCCAACCCCAGAGAAACCAAGGGCGCTCATGCAGCAAGTAGAGTCAGTTAACACTGCTACATCATGAGGAACGAGACACGTTACGCCAAGGGTCAAAGCATGAGAGCCTACATGAGATTTTTACTTGGTTAGGTAAATCATCGAGTGCAGGTGCTTAGCTGCCAGAAGCTCTGGAGAGAACGCAACACAGAAACCCAAAATAGCCACCTGGAGCAACCACGGCCAGCCACAGGGCCGACCACGCCGTCCTAGACACAGCCCGGCCCGCAGCTCCGATCCTGCGCAGAGTCTGCAGCAAGAAGTAACCTGCGCAGAGAAGATGTGTAAGGCCGCAGACAGACGCCAGAGACCAGCCTCCGCACTGACGGCACCGCGGGGACGCCCACACCACACACTTCACCACAGCCCACGTCGGTGGGTCGAGTCTCCTCAAAAAATACGAAAACCAAGTAACTCTTGTAAGTGTTGGCAATACCACACTGACATTACCATAGGAAAAGCTCAGTTCTATATTTAATAGTTTTCACTCACTTCTGCCTGCAGATACTTCAGATGTAAAATGCAGATATCCCCTACGAAACCCCGGGGGCAGCGGTTGGAAGCCACCCTATAAATATTGGCCATTGGTGCCAGCAGAGTTTATATTGGAAAGATAGTACCATATTTTAAAGCAGATTGAAATTCCATAGACCCCTGCAGTTCATACGCTCTAGGTGAGAAAATAATTACTCAAAGACCAAAATTCACATTATTCTAAAGGCTAATATTTTCTAGTGAAAAAGAGTTTCAGAAGGGTAACACGGCACTACCAGATGATGGAATGCACCACAATCAACTTAGTATCAAACCTCACATTACAAAAAGCAGGAAACTGCTCATGAAATCCGTTTTGTTCCAGTTTTTTTTTTTTTTTTTTAAGAGACAGGGTTTTGCTATGTTGGCCAGGCTGGTCTTGAACTCCCGGCCTCAAGTGATCCACCCGCCTCGGCCTCCCAAAGTAAGTTTTGTTCCAGATCTCATGGTGGGTGGTTCTCTCCTCACAGTGACTTAACATCTGTATGTTAATTCCTGCAACTATGTAATTACAACATGGTTGGCATGCAAAGAAGTATGGGTTATGAGAATTTAACAGAAAAATCAATTGCTTTACGTTTATTAATTAGCAGATGAGACAATTATTTTTGAAACTTTTTTTTTAAGATGCCAAAAAAGGGTGTCTCTCTGCCAAGAAAGTTTTGAGCGTAGACTGGAAACAAGTAATGTGCTCATGTAAGCTTTGGGGCACAGACAGCAACCACTAAAGCGGCACAGGGCAGAGGTGCAGCCGCGGCGAGCCCCAGTTCCAGTTCCCACACAGCGGGGTGAGCAGGGACTCACCTTTTCTCAACTTTCAATCTCACCGCAAATACATTCCTTTTCAAATGTTTAACTCATCCTAAATAAATGTACAAGGAGGCCAGGTGCGGTGGTTCACACCTGTAATCCCAGAACTTTGGGAGGCCGAGGCAGGTCGATCACCTCAGGTCAGGAGTTCAAGACCAGACTGACCAACATAACGAAATCCTGTCTCTACTAAAAACACAAAAAGAATTTTTCACTCAGGAGGCTGTGGCAGAATTGTCTGAACTCAGGAGGCGGAGGCTGCAGTGAGCCGAGACTGCACCACTGCACTCCAGCCTGGGCGACAGAGTGAGACTCCATCTCCAAAAAATCAATTCACAAGGAATCTTTTCGAGAGAGGTTCACCCTGTTTTAAACCAAAGTTAATACTATTCTTGTCAGTTTTTACAGCAAGACTTTAAAGCACTTGAATTCCAAGCACAAACCACACAAGGCGCAAATAGCGTGGTGACGGGGCAGGATGAGATGGAGACGGGGCGAGAGACAACCTGCACAAGCCCAGATGTGCCGGAGGGTCCCTGCCCGCCTGGGCGGCCGTGGCGACTGCAAGTGGACAGCTGTGTACGCGTCGAGGTGCCTCTTGCCCTTACAGTCGTCGCCTGTGGGTGACAAGCAGTGAATGTGGCGGATTCACAAGCAAACTCTGTCCATCTCAGCTGTGCACGGCAACGGCAGTCTGAAAAACTAGGAAACTCAATTACACACAAGACAGTTAACAATCAAAGCAAATGCAATCTGGTGGCTATGAGCTTCTGTGATGGGGGCTTAAGCAGCAGCTCCACCAGCCCGTCGTCATCAGTGAGGACCACGATGTCACACGGGCCGCTCATTCTCTGCTAGTGCCCAACGTGACGGCGTGTGGGGCCAACTCCACAACCGACGCTCACAGGAAAACGAAGCCATACTTACACAGCACTTCCCCATTTACACTGAGGTGGCCATCCTCTCTGAGAACCTCTCTCACATTCATTCTCCCACAGTAACTGGCATGAGCTGCAACACACGCAAAAGAGGCTTAGAGAACTCACAACGCCGAGCTCGAGCGCTCCTCGCACCCTGATGAAGTCACCATGATCAGAGAATGTGCTAGGCTAGCCACTTCCACAGAGCTCACGCAGCGGATGGCTCCTACCACGCCGGTGACAGGGCCCGGGCCACGAGAAGAGACGGGAAAGACCCCCCCACCCCCTAGCTGAATCCTGCGCGCAGTCCAAACAATACAAACATCAGCTTAAAATCGTTCTGGGCCGGGCGCAGCAGCTCACGCCTATAATCCCAGCACGTGGGAGGCTGAGGTGGGTGGATCACAAGGTCAGGAGTTCAAGACCATCTTGGTTAATATGGTGAAACCCAGTTCTACTAAAAATACAAAAAATTAGCCAGGCGTGGTGGCGGACGCCTGTAGTCCCAGCTACTCGGGAGACTGAGGCAGGAGAATCGCTTGAACCCAGGAGGCGGAGGTTGCAGTGAGCTGAGATCGCGCCATTGCATTCCAGCCTGGGCAACAAGAGTGAAACTCCGTCTCAAAAAAAAAAATTCTCAAAAAATAGGTTCTAAATACCACTCAGGTAAAGTTTTTGCTTTAAAAAGGTAATAAAAATCAAAAGTTGAGCACATTAACTTTCCATTTAAGAAATAACCTTAAAGATGTTTCAACACTGATCAGCTCTGAGAGAACCGAACTACACACAGAACAAAGGAAAAGTTCCACAAGCTCCCAGAGATGCAAGATCCAGTGGGGGAAGCCAGGAGAGGGCCAGCACCAAGACTGCAGGAGGAGGCAGTGAGGGAGGCGCCCGGCGAGGAAAAGCACAGTGCTTTCTCCACCGGGAAAGCGACTGGTGGAAGAAGGAGGGAAAAAATATTTAAATACCTTTTGATTCATGGCTTTTTGACTTAAAGCTTTCGGATTCACAATCTTTTGATTCATAAATTTTCAATTTGTAATTTTCTGATTCATAATTGAGCTTCATTAAAACCACTTGAAAAAGTTGAACTAAAAATGATGAAAAAGATGACGCAGTGTATCTGGCCAGCCACAAAATCCTATTCACGTAGAAAGACGCATCGCCTATTAAAAAACCATGAACATGCGTTATTTCTTCCCATAAAGCCAACATCTACTTCCTGATAAGTCAAGTAGCCAAATTACTCATTTCAGGCACTTTTAGAATGGACACCAAAGATAATCACTTGGGGAACAGCCCAGCTGGTAGTGGACAGGGGACTCTGGAGAGGGGCTGCAGGGTAACCCCCGGGGGACCCCGGAGAGGGGGCTGCGGGGTAACCCCTGGGGGACCCCGGAGAGGGGGCTGCAGGGTAACCCCTGGGGAAGGCCGCCAGCTCTGCTGCCGCACTAGCAATCATCTACAGAGTCCCCGAGCCGCGGCCACTTCACTCCAATGCTGTTTACACATATACTACCACATTCAGATACTGCCAAACAGCCATTTGCTTCATGGCCGCTGACCCGCCAGCTTAAGGATGGGACACCGGAGCACCGGAATCACCTCCAGAATCACCTCCTTTGCTATTTATTATTTTTATTCTTAATTTTTTTTTTTAGAGACAGGGTCTTTCTCTGTCGCCTAGCAGTGTGATGATCATAGCCCATTGCAGCCTTGAACTCCGGGCCTAAGTGATCCTCCTGCCTCAGCCTCCTGAGTAGGTGGGAGTACAGGCACATGCCATCATGCCCAGCTAATTTGTTTCTGCTTTTTTAGAGATAGGATCTTGCTATGTTACAGCCCAAGCTGGTCCCAAACTCCAGGCCTCATGTGATCCTCCCACCTTTGCCTCCCAAAGATCTGGGATTACAGGCATAAGCCACAGTATCCAGCCTATTTTTTAATTTATTGATTTGAGACAGGTCTCACTCTTGCCCAGGCTGAAGTGCTGGGGTACGATCTCAGCTCACTGTAGCCTCGACCTCCTGGGCTCAAGCGATCCTCCTGCCTCAGCCTCCCAAGTAGCTGGGACTGCAGGCATGTGCCACCTCTCACTTCAGAAGATACAATGTGTGTTGGGTGGGGCACGGTGGCTCA